AGATTCCTGCTGGAAGCTTCATGGGAAACCACCTAATTGGCAGCCAAATTGGAAGAAGAAACAGGAGGGAAGCAGGACGTTTAACACCGTGACTGAGACTACTCCAGAGCAACCATCTACCTCGGTACAGCCTCCATTCACCAAGGAACAAATTGAGCATCTTCTAAAACTCTTTAAGTCTCCACAAATTTCTAATCCTCCTTCTACCTCCTATGCTCACCAAGGTAAACAAGCTCCTTCTGCCCTCACTTCCTCAAAAATTTCTGGCCCATGGATCATAGATTCTGGCGCCACAGATCATATGACCAGTTGTTCCCATTTATTTTCCACTTACAGCCCTTGTGCAGGAAATAAAAAAATCCAAGTGGCTGATGGCTCGTTTTCAGCCATAGCAGGGACCGGTTCCATCAAAATTTCTGCATGTTTAACACTAAAAGATGTGTTACATGTTCCAAAATTGTCATGCAATTTACTGTCAGTCAGTAAATTAACTCTTGACCAAAAATGTCATGCTAATTTCTTTCCATCTTACTGTGAATTTCAGGACATGGCCTCGGGGAAGATGATTGGCAATGCTAAACTAAGTGGTGGACTCTACTACTTTGACGATGGATCACTTCCTAAAGATTATGCTTCCAATACTTGCTTAGGTGTTATTTCTAGTTCTAGTAAGAATGACATTATGCTTTGGCATTTTAGACTTGGTCATCCAAATTTTTATTATTTAAAACGTTTGTTTCCTAGGTTATTCTCAAATAAAGATCCATCTCTTTTTCAATGCGAAATTTGTGCTTTAGCAAAAATGCATCGATCTCCATATATCCCTCGTCCATATGTTCCATCCCAACCTTTTTCTCTTATGCATAGTGATATATGGGGACCTTCAAGAATATCAACTCCTTCGGGAAAACGATGGTTTGTTACCTTTATAGATGATCACACAAGAATGACTTGGGTTTACTTGATGACACAAAAATCCGAGGTGGAGCACATCTTTAAAACATTTTATAACATGATTTACACTCAATTTGAAACAAAAATCAAAGTTTTAAGAAGTGACAATGGTCGTGAATATTTCACAAAACTTTTGAGTGATTTTTTCTCACAAAATGGCATTTTTCAGCAAAGCTCTTGTGTTGACACGCCTCAACAAAATGGCATTGCCGAAAGGAAGAATAAGCACCTATTAGAAGTGGCTCGGGCATTGTTATTTACACATAAAGTACCAAAAACTTTCTGGGGAGACGCTGTTTTAACAGCAACCTTTTTGATAAATAGAATGCCTTTTTGAAGTTTGCCACTCCTATAAGTGAATTTTCCAAAATTTTTCCCCAAACAAAAATTCAATCAACTCTGCCATTGAAAACGTTTGGGTGCACTGTTTATATCCACAATAAAGATGTCAACATAGGAAAACTTGATCCTAGAGGAACTAGGTGTGTCTTCTTAGGCTACTCACCAAGTAAAAAAGGATATAAGGGCTATGATCCAAAAAAAAGGAAATATTTTGTCACCTTTGATGTGCAATTTTTTGAAAAACAATCGTTTTTTCAGCCTCATCTTCAAGGGGAGCACACACAGGCAGATTCGGCTTTAGGGGGAGATGAAAAAATAGTCTTTGACTTTCATGTTCAAGGTGAATCTCTGTTTAGAAATTTCTCCTCAGAATTTGCCCTCCAAAATTCGGATTTTCTGCAAAACCTAAATAATTCCGAAAATTCTGAAGAGAATGATCAAGAGAATAACCCTACAGATGTTTTAAATAATGAAAATTTGACTCCTTCTAGTGTTAGTCAAATTAGAACAAGAAATAACACTGAAAACAGGTTTGGGATAGTTTTCTCAAGAAGAGAACCAAAGTCAAGTGGATTGACCAATGACTTACAGCATGGTCAAGAATCAACCTCGATACCAAGTCCAGAAGTTCCAGGTTTGAATCCAATCCCTGAAAATTTCTCAAATGAGCTTGATGTACCTATTGCACTAAGAAAAGGAACTAGAGAATGCACTAGGCGTCCTCTATATCCCATGTCTCATTTTGTTTCTTATAAAAAGCTATCTCCTTGTTTCCGTGCCTTTGTTACTCAACTCTCACACGTGGAAATTCCGAAGAGTATTAGAGATGCATTTCAGGTACCCGAATGGAAAGAGGCTGTTTTAGAGGAAATGAGGGCTCTGGAGAAGAATCAGACATGGGAGGTTATAAATTTGCCAAGGGAGAAGAAAACTGTGGGGTGCAAATGGGTATTCACGGTCAAGTTCAAATCTGATGGATCACTAGAAAGGTATAAAGCACGTCTAGTAGCCAAAGGTTTCACTCAAACCTATGGCATAGACTACTCTGAGACGTTTGCACCAGTAGCTAAATTAAATACTGTACGGGTTCTCTCAATCGCGGTAAACTTGGATTGGGAGTTACGACAGTTAGATGTCAAGAATGCCTTCTTAAATGGAGATTTAGAAGAAGAGGTTTTTATGGATCCCCCACCCGGTTTTGAAGAAAAGTTTGGTTCAAAGGTGTGCAGACTGAGGAAATCTCTCTATGGACTAAAACAATCACCACGAGCATGGTTTGAGAAATTCACAAGCTCGGTAAAAAGACAAGGTTATTCTCAAGCCCAGGCAGATCACACACTCTTCTTTAGAAGATCAAAGGAAGGAAGAATTGCCATCCTTATTGTCTATGTGGATGACATTATCTTAACAGGAGACGATACCCTAGAAACGGCCCGATTAAAAAGGTGTTTGGCAGATGAATTTGAGATCAAAGACCTCGGGAACCTAAAATATTTCTTAGGTATGGAGATAGCAAGATCTAAAGAAGGAATAATGGTCAGCCAAAGGAAGTATGTACTCGATCTTCTCGAAGATACTGGAATGAGTGGGTGCAAACCAATTGATACTCCTATTGATCCCAATGTAAAACTCGGAATGAGTGAGGAGGACAGGGTTGATACTACGAGATATCAGAAGTTGGTTGGAAGGCTGATTTACTTATCACACACTAGACCAGACATAGCCTTTGCCGTGAGCATGATAAGCCAGTTTATGCATTCTCCTCAGAAAGCTCATATGGAAGCTGCCTATCGAATCCTTAGATATCTCAAGGGTTCTCCGGGAAAAGGATTAATGTTCAGGAAGAATGACAACCGAACAATTGAAGCCTATACAGACGCTGATTGGGCTGGATCCGTGACTGATAGGAGGTCTACAACTGGATACTGTTGCTTTGTGTGGGGAAACCTAGTTACATGGAGAAGCAAAAAGCAAAGTGTTGTTGCCCGTAGCAGTGCAGAGGCAGAATTTCGAGCAATGGCTAATGGGCTATGTGAATTAATTTGGCTGCAGCGGGCTATAGGAGACCTTCAACTAACAATAGAAGCTCCAATGAAGCTTTACTGTGACAACAAGGCTGCCATTAGCATTGCTAATAACCCGGTTCAACACGATCGCACCAAACATGTGGAGATAGATCGGCATTTCATCAAAGAGAAGCTGGAATCCGGAACAGTGTGTTTACCCTTCCTACCAACATCTCAACAGATAGCTGACATTTTAACCAAGGGATTGTTTAGACCAGGGTTTGATTCTTGTATTAGCAAGTTGGGTTTAAAAGACATCTATGACCCAACTTGAGGGGGAGTATTGAATTATGTAATTAATTTGGAGATTTTTTAAATTAGGAGATATTGTTTAAATTAGGAGATATTGTTTAAATTAGGAGATATTGTTTAAATTAGGAGATATCGCATATCTCTCCATATCGCATATCTCTCCTAGTTTAGGGGGCAGTTCCTATTTCTTAGGAAAGATTCTAGGAATATCTTGAGGATAGCTTCTCTATCCTATTAGGGTTAGTTTCCCGGATTCACTAAGCCACGGGAACTAGGTCCTTTTGTATTCTATTTATACTCCGGTTTTGCACCAATTAAATCAAGAAAGGATTTATATTTTTCTCCTCAGAAACTTACAGTTCTTTCTTCTCCTATACATAAATTTTAAGAAGAGAATTTGGTATTTATTTGTTTACCATTTTGGGGGAAGTTAGGTCCACAGAAGATTCTAGTAATCAAAAAGCTGGTTCAGTCGATGATGATAGAGTGGAACTTGAGAAAAGTAACATTCTCCTTATGGGTCCGACAGGCTCAGGTAAATTTGTATTGTCCTCGTTTTGAACTATTGCTTAGTGTTCTATTCATAAATATAACTATGCTATATTATTTTTAGGCTTATAATTTACGCCAGATTTTCACCCTACTCCGAGTTATAGGCACTCTTATATGATTCCCTTTCAAGTTTCCGAAAGATCTTAATCGATATTTCTTGTCTTTTTATGTTTCCTTGCTTGATAATTTTCTTGATCCTTTTAGTGACTCCTCTCACTTCTTCTCCCATAATGCCGTTTAAGGACAGGGAAGACATTACTTGCCAAAACTTTGGCACGGTTTGTGAATGTTCCTTTTGTTATTGCTGATGCAACAACACTGACTCAGGCAAGTTGATGACCAATTACTCTTGTCTTGCTATTGTTGCTTAAAATTTTTGCATATCATTGAAACTTTCCTGGATACGTTCTGTGCAGGCAGGATACGTGGGGGAAGATGTGGAGTCTATACTATACAAACTCCTCATGGTACATTTTTCCAAGCCTCTTTTAGTTACAAGATTTACAAACTTCATAAAATGTTTGAGCACAATATTTAGTGTCCCTCTTATGGAGAGATACTTGATTGATTCTATATATTTGTTACCTTTTGGTGGTGTAAGAAAATGAAGTTCGTGGGCAAGCGCAAAATGCGCAAGGGCCATAGGCCCCATTAAAAAAGGGGGGGGGGGGGGGAGAAAGAAAGAAAAGAAAATGGAGTTCGTATCTCTGCTCTTTACCATGATTTCTTCATGTAATATATGAAAGTTGCAAGTTGCTCGCACCAAAAGCCTTCTCAACTGGTCATGCTTTTCTTGCCTTCTGGAAATGAAGTTGCAGCTGTAATCATAAGAAGTTAACAGGAATGCACTTCCTTGCTCTTATTGATCAATAATCTTAGTTTGTGTTTTCATATTTGCATGTATCACAGGTTGCTGACTACAATGTGGCAGCTGCGCAGCAGGGCATTGTTTATATTGACGAAGTTGACAAGATTACCAAAAAGGTTCCCCGTATTCTTTTTCATATGCACGTCTAGATCTGTCTATTTAGCCCTTGCCCCTTTTCTCTCCATGGAGAAAGAGCATGAATTTATTTGCTGGATTTCTACTTTTCTGCATTACAGGCTGAAAGCCTCAACATTAGTAGAGACGTTTCAGGAGAGGGTGTTCAACAGGCATTGCTAAAGATGCTGGAAGGAACAGTAAGTGTTCTTTTACTAGAACCCAAGATGAAACACGAAAACTTGGTAGTTGTAGTGCTATTGAAACAAACAAGTGTTAGATGTACTGTACTTGAGGTGATCCCTGACAAAAGGACCCCCTTTGACTATTATAATCTCCTGTCATAGATGCTTAGATCTACTACTTTTAAATTGTGTATCCATGATTTCATATTTGGTTGAATGAATAGCCTATTAATTATATTCTGATCAATGGAATTCTTTTTTCCTTATCTAGGTAGTTAATGTTCCTGAGAAGGGAGCGCGGAAGCACCCTCGGGGCGAAAATATTCAGGTAGATGTACAGTGGTTTATACTATGGGCTTGTTCTTTTGCATGACTTGAGTTGTGTATGTGAGAGAAAAGCATTGTAGCAAAAAAGTTGAATTTGAATATTTGTGAGAGAAAACACTGTAGCAATATGACTTGAGTCATGAAATGAACATACCCTATATCCATGCTTGTTATCTAATATATTATGTCACATGCCTGAAGACCATATTTTTCTGAATATTATTTGTGAATCATTAATTAGTCAAGGCCGGTTAGTTGTTATTGCTTGACCAAGACAATGATTTCCAAAGTACTCTTGTTGGCTGGCTTCTGAAGTTTTCATGCTTACTGACTTCAAATCATTTTCTTGTTTATCTCACAGATTGACACGAAGGATATTCTCTTCATTTGTGGTGGTGCCTTTGTTGACTTGGAGAAAACAATTTCGGAAAGGTTATGCCAATACATGTTTTTATCATTTTCTTTGCTTTATTATTTTTTTTAAACCTCTAAAACTTGGAAAAATTTCACTCTTTTTAGACGTCAAGATTCTTCTATTGGATTTGGCGCCCCAGTACGTGCAAACATGAGGTCTGGTGGTGTTACAGATGCCGCAGTTACTTCATCTTTGTTGGAGACTGTAAGTATATACACCATTGTTGATAAAACAAATGGTAATTTGTAGCTTTCTTTTTTTTGTTCATCCTTTTTTTTCCTAGAAATCATTAGTAACGAATACCATGGATTGTCATTTGTGGTAGGTTGAAAGCAGTGATCTCATTTCATACGGTTTGATACCTGAATTTGTTGGCCGTTTTCCTGTTCTTGTCAGTTTGTCAGCACTTACAGAAGATCAACTTGTCCAGGTGAATACTATATTTGTTTGTGTCCAAGGATTGTCCGTTTACAATTATTTCCAACCTCATCCTAATTCTTTAAGTCCTCAATTCAGTTTTCAACGTGTTCTGAGCAGCAAAGCTGTTTTACAGGTCCTGACAGAGCCTAAAAATGCCTTGGGGAAGCAATACAAGAAAATGTTCCGGATGAATGGTGTAAGTAATTTCTTTTCATCTCCACATCTCTAACTTAAAAATTTTGACCTTTTTGAGGTCATCCATTTGTCCTAAATTAGATGCATTTTCAATGCATCTCTTAGTCATGTTTCTTCTTTCATTTCTCATTCTTTCGGTGGCTTTCTTGGTCGGCGACTCTGATCTTCGCAGGTCAAGCTGCATTTCACAGAAGGCGCCTTGAGATTAGTTGCTAGGAAAGCAATATCCAAGAACACTGGTGCTCGCGGCTTAAGGTCTATTCTAGAGAATATATTGATGGATGCCATGTATGAGGTGTGACAATTTCCTCTTCTGAGTCTCTAACCTCACCACACAACTGCAGCTTGGATATTTTAAGTAGTTACATGTAACAACTCGCAAACGGAAAAAGACAGAACACGAACCTGATATATTAAAAGAGTTCATTCTAACATAATCTAAATCTCCTTTGCATAAAATGCTTTTTCAGATACCTGATGTTAGAACCGCTGAAAATAAAATCAATGCGGTCGTGGTTGATGAAGAGGCTGTTGGGTTGGAAGGCCGCCCTGGTTGTGGGGCTAAAATCCTTTATGGACAAGGCGCATTTCATAGTTATCTTTCAGAACATAATTTAAAGGACTCTGAGGTGAGTGCTAGAATTATTATTAGTATTGCCGGTCTTCTGTTTGTTTTCCAAGTTAATCTCTGCTTTCAGATAATTATCTTCAAATATTTAGATTCAAAGCTTTGTTTATTTGTGTTTATGTTACACAGTCCGATGCTGAACCTGAAGTGGAACCAGAGCTGCCTTCTGTTGTTGCCAGCATGTAATCTTTTCGTTATTTATTTGTATTCTCACGCTTGTATATAATAGACTTTCATATTTATTTGATATATAAACATTGTGTATACAATTCCCATAAAGCTTTGGCTTCATTCTCGGATCCTTGTTTCTTTTTTTCTTGGTTCTTTTTGTCAATAGGGTGATTTAGGCCTACTTCATTTCACCGATTCGAGTTTTCAGCTCTAAATTTTTACAGTTAAAAGCTCTCAGAAAATGTCACATGTAACTTTTTATGTTACAGTTAAAAGCTTTTAAAAAATGTCACATCTCAATTTGAATTTGTGAAATAAATGAGGTCTTAGTATTAACTTTGCGCATTACAAATACAAAAACTAAAAATAAAAAAGAAGCTCAAAACCTTAGAAATGGTGAAGATTAAGGAAAGTAACAAGAACGAGGTGGAAAAACAACAGAATTAACAGCCTCTGATTGGACTTTATAGGTGGTTTTTTCCTAGTTCTTTTTAGTCTTTTTTGTTGTTATTGTTTGGTTGAAGAATTCGTACCCCAATTTAAATTATGATTCATGATTTGTTATAATATTTTTTTTCATAAAAAATACACGTAATTCGAATGAACCAAACGTTTCATTAATTTTATATTTTATTTTAGTTTTGGCCGAAGAATCTTCTTTTTTGAGTTGAAGTGTGACAACGGATAATGTGTATAATATTTATGGTTGAGTGGAAGTGGGACCCAATAATTGCTGGATGTGATCGTATGTGCATCAGATGGCACGTGTAAATTGGAAGAGGTCCTTACCGAAAAGGATAACCCACAGATTAACCTATGGATCAGGACTTTCCTTCTGTTTTGCAACACTTCAAAGCATGATCAAAATCCACTGTAATCATGTAGATCAAAATCTACTGTAATCATGTAGAGCAAAACCAACAGCGTGGCATCATTAGTACTCCTTTTTGTGTTTAAAAACTTAAAAAACTAAAAAAATAAATAAAAAATGAGCCAACACCTGATAATACCCTCTTGCTGATAATCATTGCAGTCTTTTTTTTTTTTGCTATTTATTTATTTATTTATGTGGATATGGCTTCAAGCCTTCAATGCAAAGGGACAAATATGAGTAAGCTGTTCTGCAAAAACAGGAAGGCAATTCATTGTGTTCAAGAACACGTTAATGATTGGTCAAAAAATGCAATACTGCTATTTTATATATATATATATATATATATATGTATGTATGTATGTATGTAGAGAGAGAGAGAGAGGGGGTGTATAACTGTATATCCCCATTGGATGATTATACGTACGCCAACTTAATGTGATGAGTGCTTCTGTAATTTAGAATCTACCATATTGAAACAAGCTGACTTGATGGGTAAAGAATGATTCACGTGGAAGTTTGGTGTCATCATTGAATCATTCACTGTCTAAGATTAAAATAGTAAAACACTCGAACCAAAAAAAAAAAAAAAAAAAGTTTATGAAATATGCATGAGATTAAGGACTTATTCAGTTATATTTGACTTGAGTTTGTGTTTAATTGTGTACATTTAAGTTATGGTTTGAGATAAGAATCTTTTTGAGTTTGTGTTTGGATGAGTTAAAACTTGAGTTTGTATTTAGATAGTATTTTAATAAAAACTCAATTATTATAGAAAATTTTAATAGGGCATATGGGTGGAGTTTTATTCGTTTATTCGTTGTGAACGCATAAAAAAAAGAATCATCTCAATCGGAATTAAAACAAAAAAGTTATAACGTTTTTAAGAATATAAAAAATATTATTCATTAACTTGAGTTTGAGTTTAGAACTTGAGTTGATGGGGAAACTTGAATTCAAATTTTAACCACAAGCTCAAATTAAAACTCAAATTTTATAAAAAAAAAATATGAATTTAAATAAAGTTGTAACTTGAATTCAAATTTTTTTTGAGTTTGAGAGCATTTTGCTACCATTGTCTCCCAAGTTTTTTTTTTTTTTTTTTTTGACAATGTGTTCTGAAAAAAATAGCGATTAACCTTTTAAATTAAAAATTAGTGACAAAGACACTCTAATCATAAAGATTTTTTTTTCATAGAAATTAACATGTGACTGCACTTGGATCGCTAATTATAGTAAATTTAAAACAAAGGTAATTCAAAATTTTCTATTTTGTTTAACAAAATCTGATTTAAAACCCTTCAATAAATTTGAGTTAAAATATATAAAAATGCATATAATTAATTAGTAACCATTTGCAAGTGATATGACAATTTTCGTCCAAAAAGAATTAACAAAGTAATCAATTGACCATCTTGGCCACACATTTGAAAATCTATAAGGGCTAATTGCTAAAAAGAAAAGGAAAAATGACCCATAAAAAAAAATGAAGCAGCACATAAATAAGAAGTTCAGACAACAACTTTGCAAATAAGCTTATTTTAAAGCAAATCACCATGCAGATCGCAAATCGAATCTTTATTCTCAACTACAGTTTTCATATCAGGCATAGTATTTAAGTAATGCTGTGAAATTCTATTAAAACAAATTATTTTTATCATATTCTTACCCACTAAAACAGTAATTGGTGAAAAGAAAACATACAAAAAAAGAAAAGATCAAAAAATTCCTAAATACTTTGAGTGTTGCAATAATGAATCTTGTTTAGTGCTCTTCCTTTACACTATTTTTTCCCTTTTTTAAGTACTGAATAAGAAGATAAATTTTTGTTCTTTTTTTTTCCTGAGATTTTTTTTTATATAAGGAAACATGTTTAACTAGATAATTTTTTTTTTCCCTTGATAAGCAACAAGATTAGAATTTTATTTTATATTATTTTTCTGATAAGTGACAAGATAAGAATTTGGCGGTGGAAACGCCAAAATATTTGGGGATGCACCACGTGTCCTATTGGAAGAGGTATGGGAATGAGAATCTCTGCATTTTTTATTATATTTTTTGATAAAGGTTATATTAAGAAAAATATTCTAAAAAAAAAGTTAAGAAAAATGGTCATTTCCTATTTAACTTCTTTTCAAAATAATTTTTTTTTTATATTTTAACCGCTATATTTTTTATTTTAAAAACGTAGGTTCCAACCAATTGTTCAATTTGTCACCATCACAAAAAGAAAGTATTTGTTCCCTAAAAAAAAAATTATTTGAATTTTATATTTATTTTTTGGTATTTTTTTAGGGAATTTTGTGCGTTTAGAATTAATTTTTACTTATTTTTTAAAACATTTTTACATGTCTTTTGAGGTATAAAAATAAAAACAGTCTCTAATTGTCACGGACTTATTTTTCTTACAAGGTAACCGTGCGGCGTTAGCACTCCCGAGCTATGCTAACAAGCCTAACTTCACGCAAACGCAAGGCTAATAAAGTGAAAATAGAGAAACGAGAGTAGGAACACACGAGAAAGGGAGAAAGTGAAAAGAATTCACTAAGTATGGTAAACCTTTACAATAGCTTTCACTCCAATATTTTTGGTTTCCCCCTACAAATGAAGGGACCACCCCTATTTATAAGCCAACGGGACCTCTCATGAACACTCTACAATTATCTACATATGGATTGTTCTAGAACATTCCAGAGGAGTCTAGTCTTAGGGAGAACCTTAGAGTTCGCTAGAACCTTGTGGATGTTTCTTAAAAGAGTACTCCTTTGTGGAATACTCTAGAAACTTATAGAGTGTCCACACTTTGTAAGCATTTTCTAGAAAGTTCTAGGATAGGTGGGACTACCGTATTTATTTAGTAGGCCTCGTTCACTTCGCGGATTCGAGTTTTCAATTCGAGTTGAGATGTGACATTTTTTAGAGCTTTTCACCATAGCAGAAAAAGTTAGATGTGATATTTTCTGAGAGTTTTTTACTGTAGAAACTTAAAACTGAAAACTCGAATCGGTGAAATGAACGAGGCATACATGTTTTAAAAATGAAAATAAAAACAAAAAACAAATGATTTTTGTGAAAAAAAATTAGAAAACGATTAAAAATTGTTTTCTTTTTTCTGTTTTCATTTTCTAATACTTATTAACAATGTTATAATATATTAATTAATAATTATAACTAAACACGATTTAAACTTTTTATTATACTCAAAATAATCTCTTAAAAAATTAATCAAAAATAATTTCAAAATCAAAATAATTTTTAAAACGATTTAATTTTTACTTATATATTAAAAATAAAATTATTACTAAATGGACTCTTAATTTCTCATAATTTAAACTTCCTTTTTTTACTGAGAAGTAAGTTAATCATCCTAACCAAAACAAGATTAAACAAATAATGAAGCGTTTTAACCGTCAGATATCAATCCCACTAGTATCGTATCAACGGTCGTCCTCATCTCTCTCTTCCGCAATTCGCCCAATCGAGGAGAGAGAGAAAACAAAAAAAGAGAGAGAGAGCGGAGGAGAGAGAAAGAGGAAAGAGCCAAGAAAAGAACCTCTTTCTTTGTGGAGAGAGAAAGAGAGAGAGAGGGGGTTTGTTTGGTTCCTGGGAATCTGATCGAACCATCTTTCCCTCCCCCTTCTTTTCCTTTTTCCTCTTTCTTTTCCGAATCATTTTCTCTGCTCAACCGAAGAAGAAGAAGAAGAAGAGGAAAGAGAAGGAAGCTTCGAGAAAACGCCGAGAAAGTTTAGAAAGAAAGGAAATCCCCGAAAAAATCCCAATTTTTGCGATTAAGTTTTTTTTTTTTTTTTTTTTTGAATTTCTGATATTTCTAAGAAGTAATGGATTTGGAGAGCATTGAATGTGTGTCATCCTCTGATGGTCTGGACGAGGATGATATCCATCAGCACCATAATACTCTGCATCCCCATCCCCATCCTCATCCTCATCCTCATCAGCACCATTCCGATTTCTCTTCTTCAAAGTCTCGCTCCAATGCCACCAGCAATTCCACCATCACCGGGCCCACCGCCATTGCTCCCGCCACCAGCGTCCACGAATTGCTCGAATGCCCTGTCTGCACCAACTCCATGTATCCGCCAATCCATCAGGTTTTCTTACTTTCTACTCAATTTTCCTTTGTCTCCTGTTTTGATTCGGCGATTTTAGGTTTCCTTATTGGGGATTTTTTTTCCTTCCTCGTTTGATGGATTTGGAATTTTTGGTTTTGAGGAATTTTATTGGATTGGGTGCATTTCGGTTCTCAACTTCAAAATTTGGTTTGTTTGGTTGCTTTGTGGAATTAGTCGGTATTGGTGTGTGATTAGTGATTAAGTGGGAATTTTATGGATGAGAAATGTTCATAATTCATGGATCTAATCTGGGTCTCGAATGAATTAAATATATGATTAAAAAAAAAAACTTCTCTTGCAAAAGTTATTGCAATGTGAGCACTTGTCGGTCAGAGAAATTTGATTAGTGATTAAGTTGGATTTTTATGGAGGAGAAATGTTCAATAATTCAAGAAATTTGCTTTTCCATTGCTTTTAGTCAATGGATCGGTGAAAGCTTCCAAGCATTTATATTGTCTCTGAGAAATTTAAGCGAGCATTATTTCATATGGAGTCTTAACTTGCTTGCCTCTACTTCTGTTTGTACTGCTTATTTTGTTTTTTGCTTTTCAAACATCATCATCTCTAACTTTGTTCAATCTCTTTCTTCCCAGTATTGTCTCTTGGATCATGGTCAATTTGTGGAATCTAGGTTGCCCACTTGATTGATTATATGAACATTGCATGTGCTGTCGTCAGAAAACCTATGTGCGATATTTTGTTACGAAAAAGTGCGGTGCATCTTATGTGAGATCCAAAATGTGCTTGTAGATGTCAAAAAAAAAAAAAATATATATATATATATATATATATCTTTCTAAGAAAGTTATGTTCTTTGCAGTGCCACAATGGACACACCTTGTGCTCCACCTGTAAAACAAGGGTACACAACCGGTGTCCCACTTGTAGGCAGGAACTTGGGGATATTAGGTGTTTGGCCCTTGAGAAGGTTGCCGAGTCACTTGAACTGCCCTGCAAGTATTACAACCTTGGATGCCCCGAAATATTTCCCTACTACAGCAAACTTAAGCATGAGTCAGTGTGCAACTTCAGACCCTACAACTGCCCATATGCTGGATCAGAGTGCTCCCATGTCGGGGATATCCCTTTCCTGGTTGCCCATCTGAGAGATGATCACAAGGTAGATATGCATTCAGGTTGCACATTCAACCATCGCTATGTGAAGTCGAATCCCCGGGAAGTAGAGAATGCCACTTGGATGCTTACAGTGAGTCTTAACATTTTGTATTTTGAGTTTTTATTGGACATTCTGCTGAAACCTACATTAATATGCCTAGTAATGTGGTCCATACTATTTATGGAGTTTTGATTGCATTAAGTTTTCATCAATTCTGTTACGCGTCTAGATATATAAGGATTCTGGATTGCTCCCCTAAAAGGATATTTTCAGGTGGACCTCCGCTGAAAGCGCGTTATTCCTGTTTTCTAAAAGGAAAAAGTAATGCGTTGTCCATGTCTTTTATAAAAAGGAAAGTGCATTATTCGTGGTTTACTGCACAAGTTCTTGGTTAGGTAGGCACATAAATGATTGGATAAAAGCCTCGTCATTTTCCTAGCAACAAAGATCATATTCCTTTTTATGTGAATGAAGCTTTTATTCTGCACAGTTGACTTTCTTTCCTACTTGTGGTCATTGACATGATCTTCCTTTCTAATGCAGGCTTTCGTCCTTAAATGTTTACTAATTATGAATATACATAGACACATTTTATATGTATATATGTCAAAGTAAAATGATTTCTTTTTAGCTTTTATCTTTTGCTTTCAGCAGCACATACTGGCTCAGACGCTAGAAATGTTGTTTAGATGATGGGCGATTCCATAATCAAGATGGTAGATAACTGTTTCTTTTGGTTTTCCTAAAATATTTATTTGTCCAGTTTGTTGCAGAAGTAGTGAGTTATTTTTTGTAGCTGCTGGATGGAAGATGTGTCTTGATTGAGTTTAGTATGGTCCACACTTTAGCCAATATCTATTGTCCAAGAGACACTTATTTATGTGGATGAACAAGATATCTGATTTACAAAGTACAAACTTTCTTTCTCAATAGATCAAACCTGAATCTGCAGGTGCATTTTTTTTTTCTTTGTTAGGTTTTCCATTGCTTCGGCCAATACTTTTGCCTACATTTTGAAGCCTTCCAGCTGGGAATGGCCCCTGTTTACATGGCATTTCTTCGGTTCATGGGCGATGAGAATGAAGCTCGTAACTACAGCTATAGCCTCGAGGTTGGAGGTAACGGCAGGAAACTCATATGGGAGGGCACCCCACGAAGCATCCGGGATAGCCACCGAAAGGTGAGAGATAGCCATGATGGTCTTATCATCCAGCGAAATATGGCTCTTTTCTTCTCAGGCGGTGACAGGAAAGAGTTGAAGCTAAGGGTTACAGGCAGAATATGGAAAGAACAGCAGAATCCTGATACTGGGGTGTGCATACCAAATCTGTGTAGCTGAGACGAATATGATTTTTTAAGGCATTTTTACAGTTTGTGTTGAGGACACTGCTGTGTGTGTTGTATACCACTGTGCGTAGCCTTTTTTTTTTAACGGGAACGAAACTTTTGAGGTTTGAAAGTCTTCATATTTAATAAATTGTATAATAAGCAGGCTTTCTTCCTTCATCATTTTATTTGTTTGGTAACTTCACAACTAACAAGCTTTTCCTTCAAGACTAGAAGCTACACCACCCCGAGTTGACTTTTGTCTTTAAACTGATATTTTGACAAGATGAAAGACTGGCTGCTGCTTTCTTAAAGGTGAGCAATCTTTTGATCACCGTGAATAGTGGCAATCCTTTTAATCACTTTTTTCGTGACCCATCACATATTTACGTCAGATCATTCTTATAATTATTGTTTCAACTTTCAACCAGTCTTCTAGAAAAGAGTTTCTCTGGTAGGTTTCTGATAAAGTTCCTCTATCAAAAACGGTCCGTTTTACATGCTCTTAGATTGATCAGATCTCCATCCACCAGTCACAAATTAGCCCTACCAGTACAGAAGTCTTAATAAAAAAAAAAAAAAAAAAAAAAACCCGTTTAATTCACCCATTTAAGTTTTTAATTTAAGTTGAGATGTGATTTTATGTTAAAATTTTTTACTGTAATAAAAAGTTAAATGTGACTGTTTTTAAAAACATTTTACTGTAACAAAATTCGAATCGGTGAAATAAACAGAATCATTTGTCACTGCAACTCCATGGTGTCTTTTCTAGATCCACAATGAAGCTGTTAACCCCAAAAAAAATCTCTAAATTCCGTATGTATGACGCAGCAAAATGGAAGAAATTTTAAGTCAAATCCATGGCAAAGGAAGAAACGGGTTCTCTGCCCCAATTGTATTCAGCAATATCACAAAATTACCAAAAATCTAAGCTCCCGTCTTCCATACAAATGAATTCAAATAGAACCAAAACCAGTGCAAAGCGACGAAAGAGAGGAATAAACATAACCAAAACGACAATGGAAACACTATCCTAATTCTTGACTAATTTAACATAACCTTCCTATATCAATGTATTAAGGGGTGCAATGAATTCCTTAAAAGAAGGAAAATATTAGGCATCACAAGGTAAACATTGAGTGGATGGGTTCTTGGATTCTAACGTTGGCCTCAAGTCTGCCAATTGGAGCAATATTTGGATTCTTCTCCCCAAAAATGGAGGCAAAAAAAAAAACAAAAAAAACAAAAACAAAAAGAAGAGGGCGATATGATGCTAAATTACTCGCTTACTGTCCAACTCCACAGTATTTTTTCAAACGCATCCCACAAAGAAATGGATAGTCTCTATGAGGTACAATTATACGAATTTTGTTGCCTGATCAAAACAAATATGTTCATGTAACTCCAAATCCTTGCTTCTTCTACAGGATGATTCAATTTAAGTGAGGAACTTGCTGCAGTAATTCCCCCATAAATATTATACTCAAGCTGTTGCTTGACTGGTTGTAGTTGTACCATCAGTTCTGGCCTCTGCCTCAGCGGACGTCTCATCTTTAATCCTTTCTGCGTCCGAGTCTGAAGAAGACGACTCTGTGGAAGAAGCTTCTCCAACAGTCGGACTTCCATTGGCCTCTGCAGAACCGGACTCGGTGGATTCCTTACTTCCAAACAACTTAGACGGAAGTAAAGAGGACACAGCAGCTCTTGCACTTCTCTTTGCCGCCTCAGCTGCTTCTGCTTCCTTCGCCTTTGCCTCGGCTTTCTGCCTTTCCTTCTCTTCAATAAGCTTCGCCAATTCATCCTCTCTCCCTTCCTTTCTGAGCTCGCCTTTAACAAACTCCTGCACCTCCTCATTAAACTCAACTCCATCATCGTCCAGCATCGTATCAACCACATTAAGCACCTCATCCAATTTCCCCGACTCGCTCAATGCCTTCATTATGAACTTATAGCTCGGAACGTCCATCTTCAGCTTCTTCACCATCAGATCAAAAAACGATTTTGCTTCATCAACCTTCCCTACCTTAACCAACCCATCAACTAACCTATTATAGACTGCTAAATTAGGCCTCAACTTGGAATCAACCATTTTCCTAAAATACCCAGCTGCATCATCAGGCCTGTTCTCCTTAAAACAAGTATCCATCAACAGACCAAACGTAAACTCATCTGGGTTCACTCCTTTCTCACCCATTTCCCCATAAAGCGCCTCGGCTTCGCCCAACATCCCATTATTGCACAACTGCTCAATCAAAACATTGAAGGACAAGGTATCAGGACTGCACCTATAATCACCCATTGTCCTAAACACCTCAATGGCATCCCTAAACCTCCCTTGAGCACAATAACCTTCCGCTATCACATTAAAGGTACCCAAATTCACTGCCAAACGCCTCGGCGGGTTATGCTCCTTTTTCATTCTATCAAACAGCTTTAAGGCCTCATCAAACTTCCCATTCTTACTCAACGCGTCCAACACCGAATTATACGCCACGGCACTCATTTTCACACTCGAATTCTCCGCCAAAGCCTCCTCAAAAGTCTCCATAGACTCCTTCTTGATCCCCTTCAAGAAATACCCCGCACCCACAGCCTCCTCAAAAATCTCCATAGCCTCCTTCTCCATCCCCTTCAAGAAATACGCCTTCATCAAGCTCCCATACACAACCCCATCCTCCACAAACCCTCCCAACTTCCCCTTCAACTCCTCGTACAGATCGAAAACCTTGTCCACATCCGAATTCCTCACGCAACCCGCCATCAAGTAATGGTAAACCGTCGGGTCGGGCGCGAGCCCTTTCTCACTCATTTCCTCCTTCAACTCCAAAGCCCTCTCCAACCTATTATTATCAACCAACCCTTTAACCAAAATCCTATAAGTAGTGGGGCTAGGGCTAAAAGGCGCATCATTTATCAACTGTTTGTAATGTTCCATGGCAGTATCAGGCTTTCTACAATCCAAATAAGTCTGAAACACCAAGTTGTGAGTTATAATATTAGGAGCAACACCGGCTTGGGTTATGAACCGGTGAAGCGAAAGAAGATCGGAGTATTTCGACTGCCGAAGAAGAGCATTAAGCACGGAATTAACAGTGAAAATGGTGGGTCGGCAATTGGAGTAAATGGAATGGCGAGTGTAGAGAGCCGCTTCTTCGAGGTCGTTCTCGCGGATTAGAGTGAGAATCTTGTTATGGAGGTTGAGGCGGTTACCTGTTAGGGCGGAGACGTGATCGGGAAGCTTCGGGGCATTGGGGTTTCGTTGCGGCGGAGGAGGAGATTGTTGCTGTTGTTGTTGGTTGCGGTGGAGAGAGGAGAGAGGGGGCTCGATGCGGAGGCGGCGCTTGCGGCGGCGGCGCTCGGCGGCGGCGTCTTCCGGCGTGGCGAAGGAGAGAAAGCGGAGAGAGACGAACGACGGCGGCGGAGGAGGAGGAGAAAGGAAGCGGCGGTGGGGGGGTTTGGCTAGGGTTTTCAGGTGGGTTAAGAATGCGTTGGGCTTCGATAGAGCCATTAGAGAGTGAGGGTTTGAGCTCGTAGATCAGATTTTTTTTTTTTTTTTTTTTTTTTTTTTTTGGTTTTTTTTTGGGGGGTATGTGAAGATGATGATATTGATAGGGTTCTAACAGGGTTTAGAGGAGAGGATAGCCATTTTCAGAGAAGGAGACAGAGGAGAGGATATGGAATGTTGGACTGGGCTGTTGTAAGCTTGTAGGCCGTGAAATACTTACAGAAGGCCCAATAAGTTTGGGCTATAAGTTTGGACTTAGAGTGATTTATGCATATAGCAAAATTTTGATATCAAAGTTTAAATTTAACAAAAGTTTTGAAATATTTCAAGAATAGCAAAATTTTATATCATTTTTATATCAATTAAAATAATGATTACATCATTATATAGTACAAAACATGATATCATTATGAATTACTATGTCATTTTTGATATATTCATAATATTCTATAAAATTTTGTTAAATTTTAACTCAAGGTATGAAATTTTGCCATGCAGTATAATTACTTCTCGGACTTAAAAGCCCTAAAGTTAAACCTTGGCCTGTCATAAACTCCCAGCCCTCTCTGTCCTTAGGTCCAGGGTCTCCAGGAGTACAGTTAGAGAAAATTTAGGTAATATACCGCCTAAATCCAATAGCTTTACACTTATGCCATTTTTATTGATTTGGAAAAAAAAAAAATACATATTATATGTATGTATGTATCTGGCAGAATATCGAAAAAAGCTACAAAAATCCTCTCAAAATATCTGGCCAAATTTATCAAGAAGAACAAATAATTTGGTAGGATATTAAATTTTGTAGGACATTTTTAATACCCTACCATGATACTTATATTGGATTGGGTGGTATAAGTATTATGTTTATGTCATTAGTTGACATAAATGTAAAGATGATAGTCTTTGAGTGGTATTTTTTTTATCTATCCCAATTAAGTTATCACTTATTCACCATGCTTTTACGAAATTAAAGCTACACAATTTTTGTAAATCGTATAAGAAAATAATAACTAACAAAATTGCAAGTATTTCTAGGAATAATAAAGAGAGTATAAGCACCTGGTTATGATGGTATGATTATTTGTTAAAAATTTTAGTTTTTCAATGCCCAAGTGATTATTTTTCATAAATTTATCGTCAATTAAGAACTAAAACCATCAAAGACAAATAAATAAATTCAAAGATTAATAGCAAAATTGTCTGAAGAAAACACATATTTATCGAGACAAAAAATTAATTTACTAATTATTTATGTAAAACCATTAAAAATTGGTCATGTATGTTAAACTGGGTGGCCAAAAACCACTGCAATGTACTTTTTTTTTCTTTTCCCTCTTCTCTCGATAAAATAATTTGTTAAAGTCATTTTCCATGCTAGGTTGATTGGGTCACCAACTTGCATTGTTTAATTATAATAGTTTAGGTTGTTCTTTTGTAACGAAACTCAGAAAAAATTTAAACTCAAGTTATAATTTTATTTAAATTCATGTTATTTTGTAAAATTTGAGTTTAAACTCGAGTTTGGAACTAAACTCGAGTTCAAGTTTCTCCTTCAGCTCAAGTTCATAAACTCGAACTTAAGTTAATAAACAGTATTTTTTCTATTCTTAAAAATGTCATAATTTTTTCGTTTTAATTCTGATTTAGATGATTTTTTTTCTATGCATTCACAACAAAAAGATGAACAAAACTCCACCTATATATCCTATTAAAATTTTTCATCACCATTGAATTTTTATTAAAATATTATCTAAATATAAATTTAAGTTTTGACACACTCAAACACAAACTAAAAAAGATTCTCAATTCAAATCATAACTTAAATGTGCACATTCAAACACAAACTTAAATTATAACTTCAACTCAAGTTATAACTCAAATTCAACTCAAGATCATCACTCAAATCACCATAACTTAAAAATATATATTAAAAAAAAAAAAAAAAAAAAAAACAACCCCCTAAGTCTCATTTAGGCATCGCTAAAAAAAAAAATAAAAACAAAATTCTAATTGAAGAACTTTATTTGTCTCTTTCTTGAAGAAAGTGATATGTTGGACAAAAGGAAGCCTGATGTTAATTAGCCAGATAAGTCATGTCCTAGTGATAAACTCCAAAGTCCAAACCATCACATATTTTCAAAAAATAAAAAATAATAATAATAAATAAATAAAGTCCAAACCATCACATCACAAGACAAATACTTTTACGTAATCAATATAATCAACTTGTACTATCTCGCATTTTTTATACATACAAATACACAATATAGGTTTCTAAAAAAAACACAAAATACGTATACATATTATATAAAATGTCTGATTTTATAGGTGTCCTTTTTCAGATGACCAAAAGTTCAGGTCTAATACGTAATTAGAGAGCATTTAATCCTAAGCTCAGTTAGCCAAGTGACTAACAATTCTACCACCGGAAAATAAAATAGAAATTGGAAAAAATTGCATATCCGATTGTCCGACCTAGCAAAAAGAAAGATATCATCTTTGTAGTTCATTAATTGAAAGATTTGTAATTCTTTTTTTTTTTTTTTTTTTTTGACAAAGAAAGATTTCTTCTTCTTTTCCTTTCATTTCGGCTCAAATTAGTATATAAACTTCTTAAAATCCTTTTTAGGGCCCGTTTGGTTTGAGGATTCGTTCTCTGATTCGAATCATGATTCATGGTTCACTCCAGTATTTTCTCTCATAAAAAACACACGTAAATAAAAAATAATTCTAATTTCATGGTTCTAATTTATGAACCAAACAAACTCTTAATTTCCTCGATCGGATTGGGGCAATCAACTTTCCATGCTTAATCATATATAGTTTAACTCCCATTTGGGCATGCATAATTTCTATTTTCTATCTAATTAAAGTATGTCGTTTGTCTCTTTATTGTGGAGTTTTCTTGAAAGTGATATTTTTGGCAAAATGAAGCTAGATCTTAATTGTCAAGATAAGCGCATGAACTAATGATAAAACTCCAAACCGACTTGCTCAAACAAGTACAAATTATTATTACATCTTCATTAAGATATATAATCAACTTGTAATCCGAATTTGTACATATCATAATATTATACCAATTTCTTCATGACCAAATTGTCAGCACTAATACCTAATTAACGGGCATTCAATCGGATTACGTCCTCCATTACATCATATTCAAGAGAATTCGTGCTCTAATTATGCAAATAAGAATACACAAAATAGAAAGGCAAGAGAGAAAGTAATCATAAGGTTTCTCACAATTACGTATAATAGCACTATACTAATAAGAATACACACAATAGAAAGTCAAGAGAGAAAGTATTCATGACCAAATTGTAAAGTGATTTTTTTTCCCTGGCCCTTTTTTTTTTTTTTTTTTAATAAAGATGGTCATTCATACAACTGAAATAAATATTACAGAAGGAGATCTTAAAACAATACCAAAATCGGTGTAACAAAAACAATTCATTATAATAAACAAATTATTTAAACCTTTGATTTGATCAATAAACATGGAGGATTTGATCAACATGCACTCTTATCGATTAATGTGCATAAACTTTACAAGAGACAAATTCGAGTTCCATAAATAAATTTACGATTCCTTCAAAGAGAAATCTCTTTAATTGGTTGATTGGTACGATAAAAGCATCTCCAAAAGAAATCTTTAAATTTTAGTTAAATTATAATTAAAATGGTTAGAAAACTATTTTAACTAGTAATTTTTTAATAACTATACTCTCTATTTTAACTAAACATAAATTATTTTAATATTTATTGAATTTAAAATATAAATAACTTTATTCAGTTTAAAAAAGAACATTTAAATTTATTATGGTTGGAAGTATAAAATAATACAAAAAATAAAATAACTAAGCTCTCTATGCTAGCTATAAATAATTAACCATTTAGCTTATAGTTGGAGTGAAAAAATCTAAAAAATATTAAATCATTAGTTATTTTAGCTAAAAACATGAAATAATTAACCATAAAGTTGCTCTAACAATTTGTTGTCAGTGTGGACCTTTCTCTACTTGAAATCTTTCAAAGTTAAAATTTGGAAGCTACTGATTGGGTAAGAGACCTCACAAAACAAATAAAAATGAACTAAATAATAAATCACAACTAGGTAAAGATGTGGACATGACTCATCACCACTAGAGAATGAAAACTAAATAAATGTATATTTATTTAATATGAAAAAAAATATGAATAAAAGAACAAATCCTATCAAAGAGAGTCTCAAGAGAGGACTGGCTTTCAGTATAAAAATTGGCAAAATTTAAGATAAAGATGAGAAAAGAAATACAAGATATTCTAGGGTCGGCTCCCTCGTTTAGGTCAGAATTGCTTTTCTTTTTTTTTTTTTTTTTTTTTTTTTTATTTTTTCCCGTTCTTGAATCTTCCCTTTTGGATCAAATGATGTATGACAAGTGCTTAATATGTTTTTTTTCTGCAAAATCAAATAAACGTGTACCCTTTTTCTGCTGTGAAATCATGTGTATTGAGCAATCAATCAACATTGCTATCGTAAGCACGATTTTCACACAAGACGATCGAAGATCATAAAAAAGATTTTATCAATATATTATACAACCAGTCTTCGTCCTAGTTTCGCTAGAAAGGTACAGGAAGAATCAATAATGCACAAACTTCATATACTACTTTATTCACACACACAAAAAAAGAAAAACCTTTATTAACAACCTTTTCAGCTTTTCTTTTAAATCAAAACTTTTAGTGCCTGTTTAGAATCTTTTTTAAAAACAATTTTCACATTTTTTAAAAATTAAAAAATAAAAATACTCTGAGATACGCGTTTAGCACCACATCATACAAAAAGTAAAATTAAAAACGTTTTCTAATTGTTCTAAAAAATACCGAGAATCTGAAAATGATTAATAATCGTTTTCCTTTCTCATTTTCATTTTCTCCCATCTCAATCATTTTGTTTATTTCCTTTCCTCAACATGCTGAATAAGGCCAAGAGCATGACAATGGCGATCCACATCGCTAGTGTCGCCAGCACCATCACCGCCAGAGCCGCCACCATCGACACGACCTCGAAGACCGCACCGAG